TTGTCACAGAGGAAGAATTAAGAAGTAACAAAGTATATGTCAGCTAGTCCATTCAAGTAAGCAAAACCCAATGAAGTGCACATAACATTGTTAATTGACTGTTAATTGCTATAAACATGGGTTCAGAATTGTTTATTTGTGATTTGCATTGCCATTGATCTTACCATAGAGAAAATAGAACAGTCTTACTTAATTAATGCATTACATAATAAAACTTGATCACTGATCTACTGATAACACTGGCCGACTGAGACGTATTTTTCTATCTGTATTATCCCCTCATGAATATTAATTTTAATAACACAAACAATTACAATAAAAAATGGTTTATAAATTGAACTAAAAGGGAAACTATACATGCGAAAAACACGTTTTTTTCAAATTTTAATGCATTTTCAGGAAGCTTGGGTAATTTTGGACAATTTTTGCTGAATCTTGGGTAATTCCGACCCAGTCATTGGGGGTATATTATCCAAAATTGTGAGTGGTCACGCTGACTATAATACCTCAGTGGCTTTATTTCATCGGCTTTAAAGGACCAAAGGACTGGCCGAAAATTTCTATACATTCTGAGTTTGTAAGTATCAAATGTGCTATTTTATTTGTCACGCCCTTTTGTTTCCTTTCACCTCAACTCCAATCATGGTGGCCTGAGGTGGATGTGGATCCCTATGGTATTTTACTTCTCTCAAAATTGAATGCGCCTCGCATCAATAAAGTGCCATAGCAGGCCCGTAGCCAGGTCATTTCAAGGGGGGGTTCTCTGGGCGTGGGGTCCAGGGGACTACCTAAGGGCCCCGGTGGGGTGGGGGCGAAGCCCCCGAAGCCATAACAGTTTTTGTGTTTAATGGGTCTATATAAGGTTATAAAAGCAGTTATGTTTTGAAAAAGACCTATGTAATAAAAGGTGGTAATATAAAATATTTTCTGAGAATTAGCATGCTTAAATCACACCGAAAGACAAAAAAAAAAACCCTCATCGTATAATCAATATCAGTATACTCAACACATTTATTATTATTATAAAACAAAACAAGCTATTATAGGCTTATAAAGTAATTTACAAAGAATTATGTATTGTGCTTCTTTATGTATATAAAACATTTAAGAAGTGTTGTCTTGTTTTAACTTAAGTAATGTATCTTCCAGTAGGCCTATATAAACAAATAGAGCTGCTTGTTACAAAATAAAGTAGGAGCTGAACTTCTTCTTGAATCTCATCTTGTACACTGAAAATAATAGTAGGCCCTACTATTTTTACTAACACATCTAGATGTGTATAAGAGACAGAAATTAAGTCAGAGCCCAAAATATAGCATCATATCATATGTCATCTGACATCATGGGAACCTAAACTTTAATTACAATTATTTGTTTACTAGGCCTAATTCGAAATTATTATTTTAAGACTTTAACCTACATATTGATTAATAATAGCTGAGATTTGATGCACATTTCAGAATTAATAATCGGGTTAATAATGAATTAACAATCCACAATCATTAGGTCGCAAAACTTTAGCTGCATTTGGTGGATTAAGTCGCAAAACTTTATCTTCGTTTGGTGGCGCCATTAATTTTACTCTAGGTAGACGGAGAGCGATTTTTTTTTCCGTACGAAACATTTACATGAAACTTCACTCGGGCCATATCGGATTGACTCGAGTGAGTACGATACGAGGAACAAGATCAGACACTTCGCAATGTCGTGACGCTCGAGTTTTACTATTACTGTATAGCTCTTTCTATGTTTACCTACGGTAGGCCTATGAAATCTCACGGACTTGTGGGATGTACGTGTGCATACTAACTGTGACCTTCTTGGATGTTGTTAAATGTTAGTATATTATCTACAAAAACAACAGCTAGTACCTCCTGTTATAAAGTGTAGTAAAGTACAGTAATACCAAAGGCTAGAGAGAAAGAGGCCTAACAGGCTGAGATCTTACCTAGGCCCCTCTTTAAACTAGGCCTAGTGTCATAGGCTGACACCAACATACTGACATTGACTGAATTTTTTTGGGGAAAAAATAGGACAAAATTGAAGCATGAAATAAAAAATTGAGCGCATAAGAGAAATATTATTATATAAATAATATACAATTCCAGCGTTATTGAACTTGTCCAAACTATCATTCTAATGTAATTAATGTTAAATAATAATAATAATAATAATAATAATAATAATAATAATAATAATAATAATCATTTTAGCATTAATTACCTTGGCCTAAGACTTGTAATGGAGAACCTACAGATACCGTACTATTTACTAGGCCTATAAATAATAATCGCCCAAGGGAAATATCTTGTGTTATTTCCCCTTAACGTGGTTTTTTTTAATTGTTCTCTAATTCCTCCATTGTCTAAGTTCCGCTTAAGGTACAGGTAATAATAATTAATAATAATAATAATAATAAAAATAATAATAATAGTAATAATAATAATAATTTCAGCATTAATTACCTTGGCCTAAGGCTTGCAATGAAGAATCTACAGATACTATGTACTAGGCCTATAAATAATAACTAGCCCAAGGGGAATATCTTTTGTGTACTTTCCCTTAACGTACAGGTAATAATAATTAATAACAATAATAATAATAATAATAATAATAATAATAATAATAATAATAATAATAATAATCATTTCGGCATTACATGTATTTAACTTGGTCTAGCCTTGTAATCAAGAACCTGCCGATTACTATACCTAATATTAATAACTAGCTCATTTTTACATTCATTTGGTGCTCTGCCATTTTGGCAGGTCTTATGGCATCCAGTATTTTAGAGCTGCCTATTCTCAGCTCTTCTCTTAATTTGAAAATAACTGTCACCCTGTTTCATTTGATGAAGTAACGCGCTTTTCCTTACTCTTTGTGCTTTTCCCAGAAATCGTCTTAGTAGGCCTAGGTAATTATAAAACCAAGGCCTAACTAAAAAATTTAAATTGTCATAGTATTTAACTCAAGTTAAAATAAACTTTTCATTACCCGTGCAGCTTAATCAAATATTATATGTCATTTTAAACGACCTATTGGTATTAACATATTAACATTAATGTATTTTTAAAAATTAGACAGCGACGTTCTCTCAGAAGTTGTTTTGTAGACGTTTATCTGTTGATGAACTTTTGACCTCCTGAATTCTGCAATGAGATTTTCGGGTCGCGATTTTTTTTTCCGTACGAAACATTTACATGAAACTCCACTCGGGCTGTCTCGGCTGAATCGACCCGAAAATCTCATTGCAGAATTCAGGAGGTCAAAAGGTCACCAATAGATAAACGTCTACAAAACAACTTCTGAGAGAACGTCGCTGTCTAATTTTTAAAAATACATTGATGTTACTATATGTTAATACCAATGGGTCGTTTAAAATGACATATAATATTTGATTAAGCTGCACGAGTAATGAAAAGTGTTATTTTAACTTGAGTTACATACTATGACAATTTTAATTTTTTAGTTAGGCCTTGGTTTTGCATAATTACCTAGGCCTACTAAGACGCTTTCTGGTAAAAGCACAAAGAGTAAGGAAAAGCGCGTTTTTCTTCATCATATGAAACAGGGTGACAGTTATTTTCAAATTAAGAGAAGAGCTCAGAATAGGCAGCTCTAAAATACTGGATGCCATAAGACCTGCCA